TACGTAAAAAAATTTAAAAAAAAATTTAAAAATCAGAAACAAATTTCAAAATTAATTTTTTTTAAATGTATAAAAAGCAAAAATTACAAAAACAAAATCACTTAAAAATTACACCAACAGTCTTATTTTCATGAAAATTGTTGTTAAAAAGTTGACCACCGATCGGTGGCAAGTCGCGAACATATTAAAACTGGCACTTTTCTTACAAGAATGTTGTTTTACAACGCTTTTGTTGTTTGTTTACGATTACAACACAAGCACCATAAAATCGCTATCTGTACTTATATATTATAATATATGTATGTGTATAATAATAGTAGTAATAAAAAATTCGACTCACATTTACTAGATTCTCCCGTCGTATTTCATCGACTTCATCGCGTCGTGAGATTCTCTTCTTCCAATCATCCTCTCCGCTCTTTTGCAGAGCTGCAAGCCGATCGGCGATCGAGCCTGCCTTACAGCCGACTGTAATTGTGCGTTGATCCGGACCCATGACCTAAGGAAAGAGAAAATAGTTTGCGTGAGATCTCTGTTGGGTAACACTAACTTAACCTTGAGGAATAATTATAATACGGATACCGTGCAATAATAAAAATTCAGATTTTGAAAAATTCGCTCTATAAAAACTGTTTTTCATTGAACACTATGCCAGATAGTAGTATAATTCGACATTTAGTCGTAGCGACAATAGGTGTACGCCGGCGCGTGACCATGGTGAAAGAGTATCTTTCTCTCCGCAAATGAAAAATAGAGGCGTTTTTTGTCAAATCGATCCAATACGAAGAGGGCTACGACCCTTTTCACTTTGTTCAGGCAACCTTTGTAATTCAGACCTTGTGAATCCCAGTAAACTGTGATCATCACCTTGCCGGCTAATAGGACAGTCTGCTTTTCCTTTGCATAAGGTTCGCCGTTTGAAATCCATTATTTTAACTTTTCTGTTGGTTTCTGTTGTGTATCGGTACGTACACTTCGCAGAAACTTCTTTGAATTGCACTTAAACCGCGTTCAACAGCGCCAGCCATTCTAAGTGTAGCCAGATCCTTCTCCACCTGGTCTTTCCAATGGAGTGGAGGCTATCCTTTTCCTCTGCTTTCCACGGAGGGCACTGTATAGAATACTCTCAGAGCTCGAGTGTTTGTATCCATTCGGACGACAAGACCTTCGCCGTTGCCAATGCGTAAATGATCATAAATCTATATCATATAGCAGGAGGGGGGATATTGAGTGATTTATAGAGTTTGATCTTTGTTCGTCGAGAGAAAACTTTATTTCTCAATTGCTTACTCCGATTGGGGTCCGAAGAAGCACCTCTTGCGAGGCTGCCTTGGTCGTTGGTCTTAATGCTGGTTCCAAGATAGACGAAATTATCTACGACTTCGAAGTTACGTTACATCAAACAGCCGGACACGCCCACTTCTTAAATATCAGTGTTATAAACTGTAAGCTATTAATGTCAGTCGAAGAATTTAACTCTTAGGGAATGTGTCTCAGTCAAAATATTGTATGAAAATAGCCGCACTCTTTAGTAGAGTTTCAGAGCACTTCTTGGCTAAAAATTTCAAGCTGTTCCCAGCTGCGACGTTGTTTTTTTTTTTTTTTTTTTTTTTTTTTTTTTTTTTTTTTTTTTTTTTTTTTTTTTTTTTTTTTTTTTTTTTTTTTTTTTTTTTGAATTTCACAAGTACACTTCGCTTACTTTTTCAATTTATTATAAGACTTTTCTAACACGAATTTTACAAGGAATGATAGTCAGTCACGCGCATTTCCGCAGGAGAGTTATGCTTCCGACGCTCCTGAACAGCTTGAATACGCAAGAGAAACTAAGAACTTCTCAATCATTACAACTGATCAATTTTCCAATCTTCAGCAGCTTATGGCAGCTCTCACGCCAACATTCGTGCTCATAGAGTGAAGCGCACATACATGGTTATCGGATTTCCCACTTCAATTTGCTGTTGATATGATGATGATTCACCGAAACTTTAATTTTCATTGTCTCAGTTTCTTAGTGCTGTGATATGGATCACTGAATTCAAATTTCAGAAGAATTTTATATGCAATTACGTAGGTAACTCGGTAATTGTATTGTAGTAAGGCGCACCAAATTTAATTGCCAATGACTCAGATGCTGATTCACTCACCTGTGTTAAGCTGCGACGAAGACCGCCTTGTAAAAATGCCGGTAGAGCAGTGGGATTATGCGCCTGCGCGGCCTCACCTTCTGCTTCTTCTTGTAAGTTTTGTACGCTTTGTGCGTTCGGAAAGTTGCTGCGATTTGACTCGGCGTCGGATTGATGCTGTACACCTGGCTGTAGTTCTTGTTGTTGCTGCTGTTGTTCTGATGCTTTGTCTACATGCCGCAATTTGACAAAACCGCCGCTACCGAATGGTGGCAATTGAGGGCCAATGCCAATGGGCAAACCGCCGAGTGGAGGTGGTGCAGCGGCGACGATGTCAGAATGACTTTTACTTTTCGCAATGAGATTGGAGCTGCGGAGAAGAGAGAGGGAGGGAAATGTGAGATTTATTATAAATTTGATAAAGATTATGTAAAAGCATAGAAAAATTATGGCAAACTGCGAAAAATCATGAAGTTGTGTAACAAGATAGTCTAGCAGACGGAAGACACGTGAATGTGGCAGCTAAAATGCGTGTCGAAGTCGTTAACACGCAAGCTGGCTAACAATTTTCCGGCAATAAATTTAAAAATATTTTTTAACGCTCTCTCATTTTTCTTTTTCATTTTCCTTTACGCCGTCAAAGACCGGCGACCGGCGACCGGCTACCGGCTAGGCGAGTTGAGCCAATGAAGCAATGCATGAGTAGTTATCAGCGTGTATATACAGTATATATCCATATATACTATACACGTATGAAATAAACCCCAGCGGCAGCGCAGAATGCAGCGGCTAACTACTTCCTTGTACGCCCCAAAACGCCGAGGCGGCCGGGTGAGAAGCGCCGACTAATGAGCAGCGCCTTCAACTGGGAGCGCTGCCTACTATTACCCCGGCAATCATACAAAAACATCTACTTCAAAGCTGTAAAAAGACGTCTGCGAAGATTGTTAACTAGTGGCTTTTAGAACTCATTGTTGTTGCTGCAGAAGTTGAGCTGTGAAGAGTAAGCTCTGCGCTGCGCTTTAAGCCCTCGAGCGCTAAGCAGTTGAGCGCAGTTACTTTCCCAGCTGCATAAACTGCATTTGATTCTACGAAATGAAAAATTAAAGAAACAACAATAACAACGCGAATGCGGAAATCGTGACCATGCAATATCTATTGTGTGACGGCTAAATGGGGCTTACGCGCCAAAGGGAAACTGCTCTGCTTTAACAGACAAAGGTACATATCTTATTCGCTGTCTAGCTAGCATCCCTGCAGGAAAGTGGCGCAGTTGGACAAGGTGCTGCTTACGAACTATAGTGCGTATTTTCCGACTAACCCAGAAGTAGTACAAAACGAATGCAAAGTCAGTCAGCTGTGAACATCTAGCTTCATTTTCTAACTGAAAGTACTTAACTATTGTGAACTAATTCTCGAGTAATATTTATTTGAACAACACCATTACTCATCTTGAGACTCAAAATTCATTTTTCGAAAATATTCGACAGAATAGATCACCGTCAGCAAGTAGAAAGCAAAACCAGCTGAGAGTGTACACGAAGACGGTAGAGCGTCGATTCGGCGCCGTTCGAAGCAACTCAGACTGACTTATGGAACGACTTGGCCCATTTTACCTCGAGATCTTAAATTAGAAACATACAAAACGCAACTTGTGCAAGAACTAAAGCCGTTCGATCTTCTCAAGAGACATCGCTTCACTTTATGTGCTCTTGAAAAGTTCCAAGAGGATCCACGTTTTCGAGAAAAACTTTATTCAGCGATGAGGCCCATTTATGGCTCAATGGGTATGTAAACAAGCAAAATTTCCGCATTTGGGACGAAGAGTAACCTGATGAGATTCAAGAACGGCAACTTCATCTAGAAAATACAACGGTTTGGTGAGGTTTGTGGGCCGGTGGAATCATCGGCCCATATTTCTTCAAAAGTAATGCCAATGAGAATGTAACCGTCAATGGCGACCGTTATCGCGCCATGATATCCAACTATTTGATACCCGAAATTGAAGCTCGTGATCCCGACGGCTTCAACAAAAAGCGGCATATTTTCCACACATCGGACCAATCAATGGATTTTTTGAGAGAACATTTCGGTGAGCAGATAATTTCATGTTTTGGAACGGTCGATTGGCCACCAAGGTCGTGAGATATTACACCGTTTCTGAAGACTATGATATTGTCCGCTTCGATTTCGGCCTTGGAGCAAGACATCACGCAGACCGTGTGAGACGTAGCCGCGGCCAACATTTGAAAGAGATAATTTTCAAAAAATAAATGCCAATAAATACGAAATGTGTGTGTTTTTTCTTAAAAAAAAGGAAAAAAAGAAGTAGGGAACCTAGAAATGGATCATCCTTTAGTTGCTGTTGAAAATTCTAACTAGTTAATGGCATATTCCAAATCATGAAAATCGGGGAAACTGGACTTAAAATATAGTATGGTCCACATTAAAGTTTTCGTTGTTGTTCGTTTAAGTTACAAGTCAAGTTTAGTGGACTAATATATGGAATAAAAAAAATATGCCAAGCCAATATTTTCCCTAGAGTCCCGTAATCACGCTCACATGTCCTACGTGGTATTAAACTTGCGTCGCACAGCATAGAACTTTCACATTGATGAACTGCCAGTCAGGGAGACTATAAAAATAAAAGATTGCAAAAATTCTAGTCTCGACAGCGAATTGTAGGGAAAGTAATGGCATGACGGCTCATAAATAATATCATAATTTTTATGAGTGAAATTGAACTCAAACTAGAGTGCAACGATAATTTAAAGACTTGTAAGCAAGACATTATAACTGGAAATTTTGTGCAAAGGACAAAATGTTATCTTTTTAGATTTGCGGCACGCAAACTTCGCTCAACTGTGCGGCTGTCAAGGAATTACTATGTGACTTTTGACGGTGATGCGTGGCTCGTTATAAAGAATTTTATCGCTCATGACGAGATGTTTTGGAAAATGTGATTCTATGATGCTATTGTTTTAGCTGTTAAACTTCGAAGACGATTTTCGCAAAGCAAAAAAGATTGAATTATTCAGATTGGTGGTTTTTTCTTTTATATGTTAGGAAGGATCTGATCTCTGAGCTTTGATCCGACCAAAGATATGCACTTGCGAAATTTTTATTATATTTTGGGCACTTCGATAAATAATTTCATTTATTTTGTATATAAATCGAGTGTTCGTACTGTTTAACACATTTTTTATTGATTTTGATTTCAAAAACCTTGAACTTACTTTTAAACTTTGCATCCCAAAGATTTTTGACTTTCAAAAAAATGTTTGCTTTAATAATTTCTTTACACTTTTACTAAAACACAGGTTTGAACACTAACTTTCTTCAAATATATTCGCAAAACTATAAAAAAAAATTACACGTTTTTAAATTTATTAAAAACACACACTTGTTCTTTTCAAAAAATAGAAGACACAACCGCTTCGGACCGATCACGACACGAAACTAAACTCAGAAATGCGCTCAAGTCACAGGTAGACTTCTTAAAGCGAAGCATGAATCCAAGGACCGCGAAAAATCCATTAAATAGCGCGCTAAAAGAGCAAACTCCGGGATAATAGCGGATAAACAAACGATTTAGCACGAACCCTAGGAACAGGTATACATATAATAATAGTTTTCGAAATTTGATTGTCTAAAAAATTAGTGATAATTAATATTTGAAGAGCAGGATTTAACAACTATGTATCTAAATGCACGAAAACAACAACAACACGACGCGCCAAAGTGCCGATAATGATAAGCAAACAAATACTTTTATTTTAAAATTTTTTGCTTTTGAGCAAATATGTGTTCGAGTTTACTAAATGGAAGTGCCATAAACTGATTATCAGATATATATGATGATAATAGGCTTCTTTTTGACAGCAGTAGATATGTATCTACATACACACACACACACCCGTAAATTCAAGCAAAGGCGCTCCTCAACTGATTTCTTTACTTTCTCAATAATTTGCCAATTATTTGAGGTTAATTGATCCTAGCAGGTAGCAAGCCAGATATTTATCTCTAAGCTTGTATGCATGCATACAAAAGTATAAATATGTATTGTATAATATATAGGTTTATCAAAAACACAAGTCTTTGAATAGTACTAGGCCTTCAAAGACGGTGGAGAGATCGTTGAAGACAAAACGCGTTCTAGTCGACCTTCGACCTCTTCAGCTGCAGATGAAAATATTAAAAAAAGTGAAGGATATGGTGCTTGAAAATCGTCAGGCAGGCAAAGATTCAGCTTTAGATAACATTACTTACTCTACGAGACATCCACACTCAGAAACGAAACTCTTCATTCTTCTATTTGAAATATTATCGCATTTAATTAAAAACAAAACGTTTTGAAAAGCCATGTAAAATTTAATACTTGTATGATAACATTAAAATCTATTTACTTTATTCTGCTACGCTGCTCTTCATTTAAAGCAAAGAATCGGTAACCAACAACTATGGCACGACAGTTATTATCGCGTGTCTTTAATGCATTTATTCCGAAGTTGTTTCGGTGAACGACATTAAATTTGCCAAAAGCATAGCAATGAGTAGATAAAAATGGTGAGACGCCCACAAAGTAAAATAAAATTGCCGAAAATACGCAACTACAAACACAAATGCGAGCTTACACTTTCAAGGTCGCTCGCAACCATCCATTTTAATTTGCTTTTGCAGAAATTTTCACGTTACCAAATTCCCAAAAAAGTAATTTTTTGTACCGTTTTGTTACCGTTACCAAGTTACGGTTGTTATAAATAATGCATTTCATTGGGTTTCGTTGTCAAGTTCACTTTTGTGTGCAAAAAGAAAAAAACAAACAGATATAGAAAGGTGAATGCATAAGAAAATTAATTAAATGAAATAGAGTTGAACTTCGAGAACTCGAATTAACATAATCCAGAAGAAACTTCGAGTTAGAGAGGCTTCCAATTATGGAAGGAATTTTGTATGACATTTGACTTTTATTGGCAATTCAAGAGTTGGAGCTGTGGAGAACTTTGAGTTCGAAAAGTATCTGTTGCCCGAAAAATGGCAAAAGAAATTGGATCTAATATCTACAAAAAAAAAAATCACTGGAAATGCTGAAGCTCATATTTCCACCAAGTTTTATTCTAGAATAAAAAAATATTATTTTCAATGTTGCTTCTTCTTTTTCCTTAAATATTAAAATGTGATTGATCTGGGATTATAGCATTTGAACATTTACATTATCTTGTCAGCAAAATGCGCGAACAATATACGAGGTGTGTTCAAAAAGTATCGCGAATTTTGGATTTTCGCGGATTACGTATATTGGAATTTCGAATTTTTTGTGGCGTTATGTTGTCATGTCTCTCACTTATGCCCACCAGCTCGGCCATT